GCTGCGCGCATCACGCTTATTCATGGCACAAGACTTAAGTTGGGCAAGTCCACCGTACTGTGCGACTTGCTAACAACGCTTCAACGGTGGTGGCTGTCCGAGGTTTCCATGCGACGGCGAGGGAATATCATCGATGCATATCTACGGATACACACTATCCAATACGGCTAGACTATCACCAACGGGGGTAGGAGACTGTGAGCAGCAACGGTTGCCGAATAGACATGATTGTGAATGTTAAACTTGACTCTGCTCACCCCGGCATCATCCGCACGGGCCCACTGAAACACCAACACTTCGTATCCCGAGGGTGAGACGGCGCTCAGGTGAGGGCGCTCCGCCAATGAGCAACACGCCGGCTGACCTTGGCACCGTCGGTTAAAGCAGTAAGAGATGACAACATGATGACCACGCTGAGCCGGAGCGATGGGTCAGGGGTAGAGAGGGCGCCAGAGGAACTCGCGGTCCAGGGAATCCGGGGAGTTGAGTGATGCATGCTAAGAAGAAGCTTGAAGATGTGGCAACCCAAAGGCGCCTCACGGACGAACCCGAGCATCCCGCATTAGCTCTGCTGACTACAACAACGAAAACCGACATCATGTTGGCACCCACTGCCCTCCCGCAGTGGGTGGCCAGTGCGGCAACCCCAGCCATGGCTTCCCCCACCAAGTGGATTCCCCACTTGGTTAGTTAGCGTCATGCATCACATCTCTGCACCTCCAAGAGCTGTTCCTCCCTGCGGCTTTCCCTGCCTTGCATCCAGCAGAGCAAGTCGCGCTCCCGCAGCGGCCCGCCGTCCCCTGCCGAGGGGTACACCTCCTCCCAAACGCGGTGCTGGCGCGCCCACTCCTCGGCCGTCGGCGCCTCCCAGATGTGCGCGGGGCAGGGAAGCGGCGCGGCCGGGAAATGGGCGCACAGCGTGGTGGGGAGCGATTGCCGCGCGTGCGCGACGTAGTCGAGCGCGTGGAAGGCCACGAAAGATTTGTGTCGTGCGGTTGTGGTGAGGAACATGTTAGTGTTGATTACCTTCGCTACCTCGGTACCTACCGATTCAGGGGAGGGCCAGGAAGGAGAAAAGGGGGCGCACCGAAGTATACTTTCGTCTTGCATCCAGCTCTCCCAGTTGCTTGGGGTGACATTGGTGTGGAGGCGCACGTCGTGTAAGCCTTGGCTGAGGATGTTCTGGGTTGGTGGTGAGAGTTCATGGTCTGGCTTGTCTCAGGGGCGCCCTGTCATGGGCGATGGGGAACGTCTCTTACCAGCACCAGTCGGACCGAGACTCTGTCTATGCACTCGCCGGCGATGGGGCCGGCACGGTAGAGGCGCATGATCGAATACAGGAGGATCGCTTGTAGGGCGGCCGTGTCGTCAGATCAGGGGTTCTTTGGGAGCTGCGCATCGGCAACGTTAATAATTAACTGCTCACTGGGTGCAGGCATCCGTGGGTCGCTTCACATCGTGCAACATTTGAAGCAGTTGCGTATCGATAGTCCGGAGCAGAATCGGATGGGACTGCGGGGTCTTCATAGCGTAGAGTTGAGCGGCAGCAACGGCCTCTCCAATGACCTGGGGCCTCCGAGTCTCATCCCAGTGTTGGTAACAGATGAATGGCGGTCGATCTAGCCCGCCGGCGAGACCATCCACAATGCCCCTGAGTACCCCGTCGATCAACTCGAGGCCTTGTTCCGCAGTGATCCACCTCTCGCCGAAATAGGTGGACAGGTCTTGGAACGGGCTAGGCTTTGGGCTCTGAGGCTGAGGTGTGGCAATCTCTTCCCAATGTGTATCTGGTGTCTCCGCCCCCTTGTCGGCAAGAAGACCTTCATCGAGCAGGGAGGGGCCCGGCCGGCCATCCCGCACTTCCATCTGGGATCCATCCCAATCCTGGCACAGAAAACCACGCTGACGAGGGGTCGGCGGCCAGTGGGCCTGTGACAAGTCCGAGGAGGGAGTGAGCCGGAGAAACGTAGCGTGGTAGTTTGGAGAAGTCACGGCTGGCTGTGCCAGGTTCTTGTCGAGTCCGAGTCCCCGGACCTGCAGGTATGTGCAGGCCAGGCCGTGGGCGGCACATCTCGAACAGACAGGCAGCCCCTGGTCGCAGCGGACCTTGGAGCGTGAACACTCAGCGCATGCCTTCTTGCGGCTGCGCGGGCGGAAGCATGCCTCGTTGGTTGTCAAAGATTCATGGCAATACCTGGAGCGCGATGACGAGGGCTGGTTGCTCCGTGAAGCGACTAGCAAGGGTGCAATCCGTGTGGCCCGGTATTATCACCACGAAACCGTTTGGGTGCGTGACGCAGTGGACATTACCAAGGCCACAAACTACCAGGAGGATCGATCGCGACACCCACCGAGCACAAGCACAGCAGGTCCGTCGCACGCCCGTCGGAGCCGCAGCACTGCTGGCACGAAGCGGTAGTCCGACCAAACTGGTGCTCCCTTGCCGCCCAGCAAGCGACACTGTTCCGTGTCTCCGACCAAACCCGCCAGCGATGTGCTGCCGAACCGGGTGCACCGGCATGTTATCCTTTCCGACTATGGGATCCCCATCTACAAAGCCCGCTCTCGACAGGCGCTACTCGGCGCGCTGGCCGACTGCATCTGTTGGAACAGCGAAAATTGGACCACTGCAGTGGTTGTATGGGGACACTGTAAAATGGGTACAAAACGATATGTGTGTGGTGTTGGGAATTGCTTCAATTGTTGATGCTTGTGATCTCTCTCTCTCGATCTCCCCCTGTGTTTCCTTGTACCGTCCTGGCTCCTTTTAACTGCCTGGCTCCTTCGCCCCTTCGCCGCTGACGCCTCCCATGTTGTCCCCATGACCACTTGATGCCATCGCCACAGTGCTGGTCCTTACTAAGAACGGCCGTTTGCTGACACCATCGCTACTGTGGCAAGTAGCTGGACTAATTAATGGACGACCATGGTGTTGACGTTCGCCTGTAGGTTGCATAAAGTTGAGGTTGGCTATACTCTTCTTGGGCATATAGTCCAGGGCAATCGTCCAAAGCAATCGCCTACGGTCAGAACCAGGGTGGTGCCTTGGTTCTAACAGCCTTCTGCTGGACTTGATCGAGGCATTCTAGTCTGAGACTGAAGTCAGAGAGTTCCCACAGTCCCAGACACCGAGCCTTGCTTTGTGTTCCCATATTGAACCAGTGGAAAACGGACACCGCGAGAACGAGGCCTGCTGGTAGACAACAATTACCGAGCCGGATGCCGTACTTCCCACGATGTGGTGCCGCGTTCTTTAGAGACGCCAAGGGTCGGAGTTAACATAGTTGTGGCCGCATTCGTCTGTACGGAGGCAAATCATGTGGGGGACTCCGTTGCATTCCAGCCTGAGAATCGACGAAAAGAGAATCGAGGTTACTGCCGACTGAGATATCTGGGGCGTCACCATCGGGTCGGGACCTGGTCCCCGGATCCCAGTTTGACAATACGACCGCACTCAGAGATCGGCAGAACTTTAGGCAGTGTCAACGTCCGGCAGCGTGATGATCATTGGGGGTATACACTTTAGCCAGGTCCTCGGACCCAACCGCACCAATGCAGCATCCCTACGAGGGATAGATTGATAAAGCCGCAATTAAGACAGTGAAGCGGTCCACTTCTCGCTGGCGAACGGCTACGAAGCACGGCATGTGTCGATACAGGAACTCGGGGGCGAACTCGCAGTACAAGATAACATCACGCGCGTCGATGGAATCCCTCGCAGCCTTCATGACTCCGGAAACAGCCAAAGCATCTCACCATCGGCCATACCCTCACGATTGTCTTCAATCACGCCCACGATGTTGCCACCATCCCTCGCCCTGCTGCTCGCCTACCTGCCTGCCCTCGCCCTCTCCCTAAAACTCTCCCCCGGCTGCGGCACCACCCCCAAGCTCATCACCACGGCCAGCACCACCACCCCCTTAGCCCTCACCGTCAACGGCAAATCTCGCAACTTCTTCGTCCGCCTCCCCGAAAACTACAACTCGACCCACCCCTACCGCTTCATCTTCACCCTGCACGCTCTCGGCGGCACCGCCACCGGCGTCATCACCGGCACGGGCGGCTACGTGCCTTACTACGGCCTCCCCCCGCTCATCAACGACACGGTCGGCGCCATCTTTGTCGCGCCCAACGGCCTCAACAACGGCTGGGGCAACCAAGGCGGCGAGGACGTCACCTTCCTCAAGCAAGTCATCACCACTGTCGAGGCCGACCTCTGCGTCGACCAAAACCTGCGGTTCTCGACGGGTTTTAGTTATGGCGCGGCCATGAGCTACTCGCTGGCGTGCTCGCTGGGGAAGGAGATCCGCGCCGTGGCTGTCCTGTCCGGGAACCCGCAGATTAGTGGATGTGAGGGGGGCACGGAAGCGGTCGCGTACTATGGCCAGCACGGGACGAGCGATAACGTGCTGCCGATTAGCGGCGGGAGGCAGATGCGAGATCGGTTTTTGAAGAACAACGGGTGCGCGACGACCACGACTGAGGCGGCTGAGCCGGCTAAGGGAGGGGGTGGCAGGGCAAAGACGGTGTATACAGGGTGCACGGCGGGGAAGCCAGTGGTGTGGGTGACGTTTGATGGGCCGCACACGCCGACGCCCAAGGGGCAGGGGGAGAGCGAGACGTGGTCGCCGAAGGAGACATGGGAGTTTTTTAGTCAGTTTAAGTGAGGGGGACGAGGTTGCTCAGCCGAGCTATTCCAGGGGCGAAGAATACTATTCGTGTTGCTACATGGCCCCGTGTTGACGTGTCGCGAGGCCATATGATGTTGTGGGCCGTGGCGCGGGAGACACTATACCTAGCCACCGCTCCGAACGGACCCTAACGGGAGCCGGTTTCCATTTTGGTTCCACAACAGATGTGAATTGTGACAGGTGCGTCGGTGGTCCCCATGCCGAACAACAGTGGAGTCATGGCAGCTCGAATCCACCATGACTCTGCGCACCACGTCCTCGACACCTACAAGCCGATCCACCGGGCACAGTCCACTCAACAAGCAACAAGCGGCTTTAGCTCAGTTGGGAGAGCGTTAGACTGAAGCCAAACTTCGGGATTTCTGTCATCTAAAGGTCACCCGTTCAAGCCGGGTAAGCCGCAAAGTTTTTCCTTTTGCCTGATCTGTGCTAGATCGAGCAGGCGAGGTTTTTTGACGTTTGGTTGCCCGGGCCCGAGTCATGGCTTTTTTTTCGTGCCCCATCTCTTCCATCCTCCGATCGGCCCAGGCTCCCAGGTCACCGAAAAACTCTTCAGGATCATCGCTTCTCCAGCGTTTCAAAGCGAACCAGATGTGGCGGACATCCTTCCTAGCCTTGATGGCGTGCTTGTAGTACGGCGAATGGTCATACAGCACCTTGGATGATGCGTAGCGGTTAGCTTCTTCATTATGTTGAAGGGAAAGAGGAAAGTTGAATGGAAAAAAGAGAAACAGGTTGGTAAACACACCTTGATGTACTCCTTTGCGTGACCTGTTGGAACTCAGGCACTGCTTCGGAGCTGAGCAGGCACTGCCTCAGTTCTGACAGCGACCTGCAGGTAAACATCAGCACCATGGTCGCCCATTGATTGGCCAAGCCACTCGCCGCAGTGGCGATGCCTTCAGCTGAAGGCCGTCCCAGAAAAGGATCAGCACTGTGAAGGCTGTACAATGAGGCTATGTGACGCCCCGGTGACAAGGAGGGCGGGGAGCCAGGCAGTCAAAAGGAGTCAGAGGGACAGAGACAACGAGGGAGGGGACAGAGATCCGAAGAGATGATCTTCTTCGACAATGGAAACCTTTCCCAACACCACACACACATCGTTTTGCACCCATTTTCCAGTGCCTTTCATTGCCCCCATACAACCGCTGTAGTGGTTCTAAATTCCCGCTGTTCCAACATGACCCATGGACTCCTGTCGATATTCCGCCGTTTCGTCCTCATCCACTCGAGTAATTGTTGGCTCGCCCTCGACGTCCACTGTCAGGTCAACCGAAACCACCATCTCAGGATCCGAAAAGATAGCCGGGACGATATTTCCGGTCTCCCAGTCAACAAGCGACCTGATCTTGAGCTGGCCTTTCCCATACACAGTGATGGACATATTGTAGGTGCCAAAACCCCCACGCTCCAGCACCAGGCGATACAAATCCGCCTCTTCACTGGCGCTCCTAGCGGGTAGCATGTGTGGGATGAAACGTAGTAGAGAGTCCTTGGCTTTCAGCGTGACCGGGCCAACCGTGTTGTAGTCGTGCTCCCACCCGATCATGTCGCCCTCGTTGTGGATGGTGGCGTTGATCCGGCGGCGAACATGGCAGCCCAGAACTCTCGAGTTGCTGCAATCGGACCAGCAACATCGTGAGCGCTCACGGCATTTCCCTAGACGACTTTTACAAGTGGAACCCGGCCGTCAACAAGAATGGGAACTTTGGTAGTCTCTGGGTTGACACGTACGTGTGCGTCGGCGTGGCCCAACCGAGTCTTGTCCCAAGAGGGGGCCAAGTTCCCACGCCTTTGCCGCCTCTGCCGGTTTGAACGATGGCACGCTGGCTTGTGTGTGTCGGGATGCGAGTTGTCGGGATGCGAGTTGTCGGGATGTGAGTTGCTGGCAGGGATCATGGTCGCATTTGTTTGTACTCTAGCCGGAATACACCACCACCCTTCAGTTGACGTTCCCATCATCATCTCTTGATGTGTTCGCGAATGACCTTAGCTTCCCTCCTTGGCCAAGCGGACAATGTCCCGAGTCATCTCACCCCCGACTCGGTACTTGTCGCCCACCTCGGTGTCGAGCCAGAAGCCCGACTCGGGCAGGGCGCCCCGGGACTCGTCGACAACCATCTCGTTCAGCTCATCCGCCCTGACCCGCCCGTGTCTGATCACGTTGCCCTTAGCGTCGCGGAACACCAGCCCCAATTCGCCCGTCTCAAAGGCCCTCTGGTCCACAACCAGCAGCTCATTTCCAAACGTAGACAAGGCGCCACGCACAGCCTCAGCCCAATGCTCCTCCTCCACCGGCTCATCCTCAGACAGCATCCAGCCCACCTGGTCCCGGATATGATCCATCGTGCTGCTCGTATCATCCCCCAGCAACAGTCTGCCCGCTCTCGGCGCCACCAGCTCTGGGAACACATCATAGACGTGCATCCAGGCGCCGTTGGGCTGTGCAAACAGCTCGGCGTCGTCCAGCACGACCCACCACTCGTCGGCGCGCGGTAGGGCCACGCCCTGGCACTCGTCCAGGTCGAGCCACGCGCGCAGCCGGGCGTCGTCGGCGCCGCCGCCGGCATAGTGCGTACGGAGGAAGTAGAACTCGCCGGCGGGGTGGCTGACGGCGCCGTGCTTGGCCGCGGCGGGCCGCAGGCGCTGCGGTCGCCAGGGGGCGAGGATCGTGGCGATCTGCTCAAGCGAGGGCGTAATGGGCAGCTCAGTGGCTGGGGTTGCCTCTGGGTCGGCGGCGATAAAGGACCGGATGAGCTGCTGCCGCTGCGCCGCCGGGGAGAGCCGGGAGGTGTCGTCCCAGTTGCGCTGATTCGGCTCATGGTTAGTTAAGGCTGTCCTAGGGGGGCAGCGGGGGGCAGGCGGCTGGTTGGGGATTATGCACCAGGAGATACTGCTCGACCGGGAGGGACCCCAAGCGGGCGACGCAGCCGAGGCTGCTGAGGGGCCAGTGGTGGCCTGATGCTGGCTCATGATTTGGAATTGCGGCGTGGGAGATGAGAGGTAGGGGTAATGAGATGTAGGGATGGAATCAGTCGCTGGTTACGAGTTGCTGCCTGTGGGCCCAGATTGCTGCGGCAGCGGCGGCTCGAGCTGAAGGACACGTGCAATTGATATTAATTATACAAGAAGGGAGCGTCATAAACAGAACGAGAACGGGATGCTGGTACTAGCCCAGCCAAGGCGGCTGAACACGCAACACGATGCATCAAAGCCCTTGTCAGGCCCGGACCTACGCTCTCGTTCTCCGTATATAGCCCCTATTCCCGCGAAGAGGAGCAGGAGAGGGATTGAGGTGGTCATGGCCATGCGGAGAGGGGAGTAATGAGGCGTTGTGGTAAGAAGTAAAGGTTGAAGCTACGCTCTGTGAGGGACGCTGACAGTGGTGTGTGCGGTTTCCACGGAATATTTGCCTCTTGTGAAGGGAGGCGTGCTGGATTTTCTGCCTTTCTGTCCTTTCCACGAACCCCCGGTGCGTCCGAGCGAACCAACCGACGACAACGTGACCTGGCGTTGCTGCCTCGACTCAACCACACTCGCCCTGACCTGTTGGTCCGGATTTGGCGAGCATGCACACGCAAGCAAGCCCTTGATCCCTCATCCCCGTCAATCCCAGGGTAACGCATCTGGTGCCCCTCAAGCCCAACCGCATGTAACGGTGGACTAATTTTGGTACGCGGGGCGGGGGGTACCCCTACCCCTAAACAGATCAGCAGCATGGAAGAGCGAACAGCCCCTTGGCAAAAGCTTGTTTCAAAGACAAGTTCATCTAATCAATTTGGGAGGTTAGCAAATGATGGTATCTTTCCTTGTTGTGAACTCGGACGCTCCCGTGCTCGCGTACCACGAGTCTGAAAATTCAACACCAAAAAGGTTCGAAGCATCAACGGCACTCCATCCCAGTCAACTCTCGAGAACCTGCGGCACCTCCTCCACACGGCACTTCCAGTCCGTCTGAAGCATTAAGGAACCGGGATGGCGCAAAGCACAAGTCAAGTCTGAATTGGTGAAGTCGGCCTCATTTCAACTCACGCTTCCTCTCGCCTCAACATTGGCCAGACAGAGCGCCCACCGGACAGATCCCTCACTTCCTGGCTGAACTTCGCGACGCCTAGCCCCTTTCCAGCAGGGAGGAGACCAAAGATCAAGGTTGAACAAAGGGCGGAAAAGCCCCTTCCTCTTGTTCAAAGTACCCGACTCTTGTCTTTTCAGGTTCAAGCTGTGCAAGGAAGAACCGAGAGTGAATGCAATTGTTGGTGCCAATCCTTGCACCGGTAAGGGGGGAAATCTCTTGGTTCATGCCGATGTCAGAACTCGACGTCGATATCGCTTGGGGGGTCCATCACAGCCCTGTTGGTTTGGCTCGGGGTCAGTCGAACGGTAGGTGGTGGGATACGAAGTGCAGTTGTGGTTTGAGAAAGGAGAGGTGCGGGGATGACATACGTGTCGTACGTGAACTGCGTGCCGGCTCCCTTCACGTCGTCGACCCCGCGTCCGGCCTTGGCCTCGGGGGTGTGTGGCGCTGTCCCAGTCAAGGGGTGGGTGGGAAGGGGGTAGCTGGCTTGGCAAGGCGGGGCAGGGGTTGGGGAGCCTTTTCTTGCGATGGTGCTCCAAGCGTCGGGGCTGGTACTGTTGGAGGTCTGGGTTAGAGGAGGCACTTTGGCGCGGGCGGATTGGAAGAAGAGTAGAGATGGTGCTTGTGGTGTCTCCACACGGCTGATGTCAACGAGATGGGGCTTCCCGCCTGTTGCCAGTGGAGGGTGTGGGTGGAACAGGCCAGAGGGTGGCAGGAAGATGATGATGAAGAAGCACTTTATAGAAAGATAATAGATCCAGTGAAGGAGGAGAGGAAAGGGGAGGAAGGTCAAAGCCGTGGAAAGAGGGAGCCGCCTCGGTCCAGTTGGTGGGAGGGGGGTTTGCTGGGTTGATCGAGCTGGCGGCGGCGGTTAGGGTGGGAGGCGGTGGTGCGGAGGGAGACAGGGCGTTGGGTTGGGACCGTTTCTGGTGGTGCCGTGGGGTGGGGCTTGGCTCGAACCAGACGGTTTTGAAGACGCGGCCGACGGTAAAGAAGCATTTGGGTTTGGAGACGAATTGGAATTCTGGGCGGGACCCAGCCGAGGAGCGTTGTGCGGGAAGCAAAGACGATGGCTGACTGCATGTCAAGAAACAGCATGACTTACTGTGTGGGCATGATGAAAGCAAGGGATTGGTGATCGTACGGAAGGCAAGATCGGGGGATCAGATTGGAGAGGGTTCAAGCCGCGGGGTGGGAGACGTGGAAGGCGGACAGTAAAGAAGCGTGATATTTGAGCAGAAGGTTCCATGAGAAAGTGATGGGATATCCATCCGCCTTTATAGCAAGAAGGGGGATAGGCAACAGGATCGGTTCGCTGGAGCGTCCGC